AACTTACTGGCATAAAACAGCAATTACTTGTCTCTCACAGTTCTGGGTGTTGGCCGGGCTTATCTGGGTAATTCTCATTGAGGGTCTCTAATGCATTGCAGTTAGTGCTGAATCTGGAGTCATCCCAAAGCTTCCTCACTCACACATCTTCTAGTTGACACTGCCTGTTAGCTGGGCCTGCAGCAGGGGCTGTTGTCTGGAACATGTGGGTTTCTTCCCACTTGGTGGCTGGGTTGCAAGGGAGAGTGCTTCAAGAGAGAGCCAGGAGGAAGCTATATTACCTTTTTAAGTCTAGTGTCAGAAGTCATGCAGTGTCACTATTGGGAGATGCAGCCTGTGAGCCCTGAGCATACCTGTACATTCTTGCTCAATAGGCCAAGAAAGCAAGGCCCTGACTGCTCTTTCTTCCTGCTGTTTCTCAGTGGTGTTTTTACAGTGAACAACATGAGAGATGAGGTAATATCTACTTCCAGAAAACGAGCAAGTTTGCTAACTGCTACTATAAAAGTAGGGATTTCCTAAGCTCACTGTTCTTCAGCTGTGAATATAGTCTGTCAATATAATGTATTCTTTCACTATGTCAAAGGGAAAAAGCTGCCTGGTTATTTCAGTGTTTGATGAAAAGGTATTCATAAGACTCAGCACTTTTTCCCTAATTTTAAAGTCTTAGCAAAAGAAAACAGTACATTGTTAACATGCCAAGGATAGCTATATGAGATTACCATCATCCTTAACAGTAGTGTTAAAAGCATTCCAAATAACATTAGAAACACTTGCTTTCACTGAATTTTTTTTTAACCACTGATATGAAAGTTTAAGCAAATAATGAAGGATAAGAAAAGGAAAAGTCTGTTACGAAGGACATGAAATTATTATTTATAGGTAAAATGATTAATTAGAAAACAAGAGAATTAACTGAAAAACTTCAGTAGAATTTGTTAAGGTGGCTGGCTACAAAATAAAAATAAGTAATATTCTAGAATATTTGCACTGATCACCTAGAATATACCAAAGCAAGGTAGAATGCAATTATGAAGACAAAACTAAAAATTAAAGAGATTGGTGATTCACTACCAAAATTGATGATGATGGAGCACATGGCTAAAACTTTCTGCTCCAAGCATATAAAAATGACAGGAAATAATACTAAAATGCAATTATCAGCACACCCATGTTCAGAAACAAGAAAGGAAAATCTCCTGGTTAGAAAGAGATTTTCCCCAAAGAGGAGCAGATGGGAACCACAGCAAGAGACTGGGAATGGAACCTGATGAAGCATGCTGCCCTGCCTGAGGGAAGCTGGGGGCCAGGAATGTACCATCTGCCACGGCCACGGATTGGGAAGTATCATCCATGTGTCTTGTGGCTCTGGAGCCACTATGCTTCCACTAGGGCTGCTCCAGAGGGCCGAGGCCAGTGTGAGACTACCCATCCAAGGATGCTTCACCAATTTCAGACATCAAGAAAAATCTCCTGTTGAAGATGAGCTTCCAGTCAGAAATCACTAAGTACCCAGGATAGATGAAAAACATAAACAACTCACATGAAAATTGAAAAAAGAGAAGATAGTAATAATAGCTCTTTTTTTGAGCACTAGATGCCAATGGACACAGCATTCTGAGTGTGTGTTGTAATTCTCACAATGACCCTGTGAAGTAAGTACTATCACCCCTATTTCACAGAGTGATAAAGGCACAGAAAGGTTACCTTGCGGGACACCTGGGTGGCTCAGTCGGTTAAGCGTCTGCCTTTGGCTCAGGTCATGATCCCAGGGTGCTGGGATCGAGTCCCGCATCGGCTCCCTGCTCAGCCAGGAGCCTGCTTCTCCCTCTGCCTGCTGCTCTCTCTTTTTCTCCCTGACAATTAATAAATAAAGTCTTAAAATAAATAAATAAATAAATAAAAGGTTACCTTGCCTACTAAGTAATGAAGGTGAAATTTGAACTCACGTACTTTAGCTGTAGAGAGCAGACCCTTAACCATTCTCCTTTGGTGCTTGCTTATACTTGAAGAAACAGAAAACGCAAATCTCAAAAATGGCCAAAGATAAGAATCTAACTTCAGATAGGTAAGGGCAGAAACAATAGCCACAAAATAAGTGGTTATAAAAAAGCATTTAACTATGAAATAAGGACAAGCAATTAATGGGGGGGGAATTTGAAATCTTAAAATAGAGTTACTGAAATAAATTCAGCGGATAACATGAACTACAGCCTGCATACAACTGAGGAGCAGTACTGGTATGTTGGCATATCAAAACTGAAGAAATGAAACAGAAAGGGCTGTCAGCTTCCAGCCGAGATGGAGTAACAAAAACTGGATTTACCCTCCTACCTGGAAGAAAAAAAAACAAAACCCAGACAGAACAATGGACATCAGGTAGTAAAGAACAGTGATCCCAGAGACAGTAAATGAAGAGAGCCCAATAGTTGCCTGTTCTTGGTACCTTCAGAGAGTTTCCAGCCGCAATGCAATTGGGGGGTAGTGTGGACCCCCTAAGTTAGCAGAAGGAGTTTAGAGTCCAGGGAGACCAAAGCAGGTAGAGTTTGCAGGACAGAATATATGAGAGGAAAGAGCTTACAGAGAGAGAATTCTGGAGACTGGTAGGAGGGTCCCCCTCAAGTATTCAGCAGAGCATTAATTAGCACATGTGTGTGAGGAAAGAACCCACAAAGCTAGGAAAGGCATTCAAAAGAACTAGAGGGAACAGTACACCGTGCTCACAGGAGGCTAAAAATAGTGCTTGTATCTACCAGCCAGAATGGAAAACTTCATAATTCACGAGGCATTTAGTAGAGCACTCACGAGGGTCTTACCTCAGTGATGAGGAACAATTAGCCGTACACTACACAGGGCTCTGATCCTGACTATATAAATCTTAAAAGACTCAAAAGGATCAAACTTTTCAGATAACTGCATCTCATTGCAAAGCCCAAGAACATGTATAAAAATACTTTTAAAAATAATATGTATAGAAATATAAAAATAGCAACCAACAAGGTAAAATTTACAATGTAAAATTTACATCTAATTAAAAATTACTAAATATGCAAAGCTGGAAAATACAACCCATGATAGAAAAATTCAGTCAGTTGAAATAGACCTGAAACTGACACAGATGTTACACTTAGCAAACAAGGACATTAAAACTATACTCCATGTGTTCAAAAAGTTTAGGCATGAAAGACATTTAAAAAAAAAAAACTTGAAATTCTAGAGATGAAAATGAATGTCTGATACGAAAAGGTGGGAAGGGCCCATCTCATGAACATCATGAGTACTGCGTTAGTTTTTTGAAGGAGTTAGACATCATGTAACCCTCAATATTGTTAACTTGTCCATTCATCCCAAAAAAATGTAGTTTTTATGCAATTCAAGTCAGAATCCAAACAGAGTTTGTATTTGGAATTGATCAAGATTTTTTTAGAGAGGGAAAGAGGCAGGGGGAGGGGCAGAGGGAAAAGGAGAAAGAGAATCTTAAGAAGGCTCCATGCCCAGCAAGAAAACACAGGGCTAGATCTCACAACCCTGAGATCATAACCTGACCTTAAATCAAGAGTCTGATGCATAACCAGCTGAGCCACCCAAGTGCTCCTTGTTCAAGATTTTTAAGTTCACTGAAAGAACAAAAGAGCTTATGAAAAGGAAAGATAACAAAATCTTTAACCTTCTGTATGTTGATAAAAGTTAGTAGTTAAAATTGTGGTTCTGACATAAGATAGAGATGTAACAAATGGGTAAATGGGAATTTACTATGTGATAAAGGTGGCATCTTAATTGAGTAGTAGTAGCAGAGATCACTCAATAAATAGTATTGAGGGAATGGACTTATTTCAGGGAGGTAAAGTTAGATCCTATCTTCGACCCAAACTGCAGGGAGTTAAATATTTAAATGTTTATAGGCAGGCAGGAAATAAACTTTGAAGTGATGGAAGGGAATACTGGTGGGTGGTTATATAATCTTTGCATGGGGAATGCAAAGTATAAGTATAATGCCAAGGGAAAATAATACAGGAAGCCATAGATAACATGTTGACCATTGACTTTTAACAAATTCTAAACATGCTCGGGAAACAACCACCATAAAACAAAATTTAATGAAGCCAGTGTATTTATATTCTTTGCTTCTCTTTGCTAGTGTTTCTTGTGTCAATTACTTTTATAAACTACAATAAAATGAAGTACTATAAAAAAGTTAAAAAATGGGCTTTCATTTTTTTACTATTAGATTTTAATGGACATGATTACCCTGTCAAATTGTAGAAGTTTCTAAGTACTTTTAAAGCCTTAAATATGTATATTACTGAGCAATTCCACTTTTAGGAATTTATCCTAATGAAATAAAATGAAGTTAGTATGTACAGATCTTATCATAGGATTATTTCAGTGGGGAAAACATGAGACCGACTTAACTCTTAAAATAGTAGAGTAGTTAAGTAATGTATGGTGTTTTCATAAAATGGGATGTTATGAGACTAAATTACATTGTAAAAGCATACTAAAAATGGGGAAATGTTCTGAAAAATCCTGATTATGATGCATATATTTAAGATATTGAATGAGTGGTAGAATATAAATCAAAGTATAAAAAGCAGTTATGTGGAGGGAGGGTATAAGTGTATTTCTGGTGCTAGGCTGAGTAAGAACAAGACTGTTACATGACAATTTCAAAATATAGGGATGCTGTGCTAGTTCTTTGGTACTGTGTGTATTATATGAATTAAAAACAAAGTATTGGGGGGGCGCCTGGGTGGCTCAGTCGGTTGGGCGACTGCCTTCGGCTCGGGTCATGATCCTGGAGTCCCGGGATCGAGTCCCGCATCGGGCTCCCTGCTCGGCAGGGAGTCTGCTTCTCCCTCTGACCCTCCTCCCTCTCGTGCTGTCTCTCATTCTCTCTCGCAAATAAATAAATAAAATCTTTAAAAAAAAAAAACAAAAACAAAGTATTGGGTACACATTTTTAATGTAATTGTTTTTGAAGTTTCCTCTGTCTTTTTCAGTTCTGCTGGAAATTTCAAGAATTTTGAATACTGGCTTAGATATGGAAACTCTGTCTATTTGTGTACGGCTTTGTGAACAAGGAATTAACCCAGAAGCTTTATCGTCCGTTATTAAGGAACTTCGCAAGGCCACTGAAGCACTAAAGGTTAGTGATCTATATGTTCATTCTAAAGAAAGATGCTTTTGTTTAGAAAATGGTTAATGAGTTTATGTGAAAGATCCTACTTAAATATGATTAAACTAGCTTTTGTCACCATCAGAAATTCTGAAAACCAGGATTTTAGTAGCATATGTTCAGTTACAAAAATTGCTACTGTCATGGATCACATTTTCTTTTCTCAGAAGTCTCCAGCTGTGTTTAGAATTTTCCTTGTGTTGTGAGCCCAAAAAGGTAAGTTCAGGGCCAGTACCTGGGAATGTGCCCTTGTTTGGAAATTGTGTATCCGCAAGTATAATCAGGTTAAGATAAGATCATAATGGATTAATGACTGATGTCCTTATAAGACAAGGGAAATTTGGACAGAGCAACACCAAGAGAGCACCATGTGGAGACACTGCCTTGTGACAGTGGAGGCAGAGAGAGCAGTGGTGGCCAAGGATTGTTGGCAGCCATCAGAAACTACGGAGAGGCAAGGATCTTCTGCTAGAGCCTTCTGACTTCTTGATTTTGGACTTCTAGACTTTAGAACTATGAGAAAATAAATTTCCGTTGTTTCAAGCCACCCAGTTTATGGTACCTGGTAATGGCAGCCCTAGAAAGCTAATACAGATTTCACTATTAGAAAATGGGATGCTGTTGTAACAAAGACCTACAAGTCATGAAGTGGCTTTGGAATTGGGTGATGGGTAGAAGTTGGAAAATTTTACACACTTAATAAAAAGGGCCCAGATTTCCTTGAAGAAAGTGTTGGTAGAACTATAGACATTGAAGGCAATTCTGGTAAGGGCTCAGAAAGGAGAGGAGAGCAGTAGAGAAAGCTTTAATTGTCTTAGAGAATACATACGTGATGATGAGCAGAATGTTGCTGGAAATAATGGACTTTAAAGGGGCTTCTGGTGAGATCTCATAAGGAACATATTATTGAACACTGGAGGAAAGGTTGTCCTTGCTACAAAGTGACAGCATCTGGCTGAATTATGTTTTATTATTGGAAGAAAAATAAAACTTGTAAGTGATGAACTTGGATATTTAGCTGAGGAAATTTCCTAGCAAAGTGTGGAAAGTGCAGGAGCAAGATTTCTGCTTGCTACTTATAATAAAATGTAAGAGGAATGAGAAATCAAGGAACTGGTAAGCGAAAAGGAGCCAGCACTTGATTTAGAAAACCCTCAGCCTTACCCAGACAGCATGCTCTGGAGAGGAAGCCCAGAGTGGGGCTCTGGTGAGGAGATTGGGTATATGATTCATAAATGTAGTCCATCCTCTCGGACTTGACTGCAAGGGACCCAGACAAAATAAAGGAAGGCTGGGATTCTGTACTTCTGGATTCTGTAGGAAGGAAACTGGCCACTAGGCCTCCCTGGCTGTGGTCATGTGTTTCTCCCTCAAGAGAAGGGAAGAATGACAAACAGCTCTGAGAGGAAGGGACTGCCGAGGCCAGTTGGCTGCACTGCCACCATGGGCCCAAGGGCCACCTTTTTTCAAATACAAACTCGCCACTTTTTAGTTGCTCACATTGGGAACAGGAAAGGTATATTCCCTTTCTGACTTGTGTACAGTGATTTAAAATCTTGGGTGATTTTATTTCCATGTTTATAAAACTAACTCACCACAGATATTGATATTCAAGTTAGTCCCTCTGAAAACTTGTCCAAGGACAAAGTGACTTTTCTCTAGCTTTTTTTTTTCTTTGAGAAAACAAAACTATATAATATATGTAATTTACCCATCTCAAATTTAGTCAGTTCTAGTAAATTCCAGTGATTTGGGTTGTTTCTGAGATTTTTTAAAACTTGAAACACAAAAAGGTAAACAAGACATTTCCAGAGCAAAAATTTATTGTAAAGAGAATATCTGTACAATTCTCATTGCTAGAGTCCTACAAGTTCCCTTGAGCTCCTGTACCACTAACCTCTCCTGCTCTCCCTTCCAGTAACTACTGTCCTGATTTTTATGGTAGAAGCTTTCTTTTTTTTTTTTTAAAGATTTTATTTATTTATTCATGAGAGAGAGAGAGAAGCAGAGCAAGAAGCAGGCTCCCAAGGAGCAGGGAGCCCGATGCGGGACTCGATCCCAGGACCCTGAGATCATGACCTGAGCCGAAGGCAGACACCCAACCATCTGAGCCACCCAGGCGCCCTGGTAGAAGCTTTCTTATTTTTAACAGTTTTACTGACTAAACATGGGTCTTCAAACACTGCAGTTTAATTTTGTAAAATTTTTGAATGTGATACAAACTGGAATCTTACAACAGAGTCTTTACTGGGTTCTTCATTCAACATTATGTTTGAGAGGGTGTTTTTTGTTTTTTTGAGTATAGTTGACACACAAGTGTTAGATTAGTTTCAGGTGTACAACTTAGTGACTTGACAGGTTTACACTTTTTTTAAGATTTTTTTTTTTTAAGATTCTTTATTTATTTGACAGCAAGAGAGACAGAGAGGGAACACAAGCAGGGGGAGTGGGAGAAGCAGGCTCTCAGCTGAGCAGGGAGCTTGACACAGGGCTCAATCCCAGGACCCCGAGATCATGACCTGAGCTGAAGGCAGACGCTTAACTGACTGAGCCACCAGCTGCCCCAACAGATTTGCTGCCGTCTGTCCCACGACATCACTATTAAAATATTACTGACTGTTCCTTATGCTGTGACTTTTATTCCAGTTACAGAATGAATAAGTCACAGGAATAAAAGTCACAGCATAAGGAAGGAAGCCTATCTCTCCCTCTCTCCTTTACCCATTTTGTCCATCCCCCTCTCTTCTCTGCAAGTCATCAGTTTTTTTCTCTTTTTATAGGTCTGATTCTGCTTTTTGTTTATTCATTTTTTATTTTTAGATTCCACTTAGGAGCAGAATCATGTGAGGTTCGTTTGTTTGTTTCTTTCTTTTTTTGTCTTTGTTTGAGGGGCGCCTGGGTGACTCAGTCGTTAAGCGTCTGCCTTCGGCTCAGGTCATGATCCCAGGGTCCTGGGATCGAGCCCCGCATCGGGCTCCCTGCTCAGCGGGAAGCCTGC